ATTATTGCAGCCTAGTGGCGTTAATGTAATAATTGACAAAGCTTTCACATAGTTTTTTACTTGCACTTTATGGCACAGACTAAATTGAAGGAAAAAAAAGTTATTACTATAATTTGTTTTTATGTTTAATTGGTATACCTTAAACAAGGTCATAGTTGTTGTGAACATAACAAAACACTACAAGCTTGTGTACTTAAAATGACACAAAACTCAGGAGGTAAATCTTAAAAATACATTCAAGTACCTTAACTATTAACAATACCTTAGCTTATTTATGTATCACTTGGCTGTAGATCCTCAAATCATCTCTGAATTCGTGCTGACACTGTCCTTCCTTCTGGAGGGGGCTGCTTTTGTTACCCATGGTCCTTGTGTGTGGTGTAAAGTAGGCACCGCTCCAAGCTCGCTGCTGTGATGGACTACAATCTCATGTTTAGTTTACTAATTAGTATTAAAATTAGAGTCTACCATGGGAATAAGCTTGGGGCGTCCTACAAAAGTTGCCACACACTCAGAAAAAGTATGCGGATTAAAAAGTCAGGATTCTCTATACTTCTAAGTGTCTCTGAAGGTATAACAACCTTTTGATCAGTATTACAGTTAGGCAACTAGCATTTTAAGGAGGGGCAGCTCAAATGTTTTCTCAATATAGTCTATATCTATTAATTGCGAGAGTTGTGTAACATGCAGGCAGCTAGTAAGCAGGCAATTTCCACTCACACGTGCAAAGAACCCTGTTGCTGACCTGGGTTTGCCATTTCCTCTGCTGTGCTCTTGAACACCTTGGCCTGCTCTTAAACTAGATTCTGCCTCACAGTAGCTATTCTTAGGATATTCCTGCCCTCAATACTACCCAACATTCTGCTCCCTCATTACCTGACTTTTGCTGAATCTGCCAATTTGCACTTTCCCTTCAGATCACAGCTGTCATAAGATAAGTTACTAACATATCATCTTGGTGCCCCATGTTCTCATTCTCAGGGGCATCTAAGACTGGAAGGTGCTAAAAAGGTCCTCACCTTCTCACTGGTCTCTAGTTAGGTCAGTGGAAAATGCGAAATGATTTCTGCCTTGAAACCCCATTAACCCCTTCGTGACTGACGACGTACAGTGTACGTCGCCAGCATCGGGGCTGTTATGAAAGAAAGGTCCCTTTTACTGTCAAAATATATTTCTTCTCTTTTGATTTTTTAAGTATTTTCACTTCTCACGTCCTACAGCCATTTTATCTTTCAAAATGAAGGCAAGAAATTTAATGGTACAAAGCTTGCTAGCTCAATAAAACAGGACTAAGAGACAGTTGATAAATTACAGGTGCTTCTAGCAAAGAAGAATTTAAACAAATATTTCCTGAGTTTCGAGGAAGATAAATTGGGGTTGTGAACCTTTTTAACCTCTTGCCGTCCGCCCGTAGTAAAAAAACGGACGGACGGCACTGCAGCATCTGCGGGTTGCCGTCTCCAGACGGCAATTTTTTTCTGCTCGCGCGCGCCCCCTAGCGGGCACGCACAGGCAGAAAAGACCCGCTAAATGCACACACCTGTTACCGGGTGTTTCACATATAGGCGATCGGCGGGTCCATAGCCCGCCGAAGTATAAAATTCATTTCAGTACAGCGCTGCATGACGGAATAAATGTCAGTTAAAGTACCGCAGCGCTGAATACTGAAAAATGGCCTGGATGGGAAGGGGGTTTAACACCGCGGATGTCAACTGGTTAATATATATTTTGTAGCACTCTGAGTATCTTTCTTTGTCAGATTTGCACATTAGCCTTTTAATGAACAAATTCCGGGTTATACAGTGCCAGGCTTACTCTGCCTATAAAAGAATACCAGGTGAAAATATAGCTGTTTAACTCTAGTTAGAAAGGGTACAGTAAATATCTATGTTCTTAGCCTTTGCTGTCTACAACCTTCTGATTTCAACTGCAATTTATAGCCAAAAGATAGCATTAAAAGAAGTAAAAATAATTGCCTTAAATAAGGAAACTGATGTCATTGTATGTATTTAAACCTTTGGGTAACCCCTTACAAACACAACACAGTAATAAAAAAAGTAAATGCTTCATTCAACTTACCGCTTAGATCTCTATTTTATTAGAAAAATATACAAAAGTTGTTCATCAAGACACTCCAGTTAAAAAGTATTTAACAGAATTTCTAAAAAAAACAAAACTCCAGCGACATCTCCTGAAAAATAATTCATTTATATACAACAAATTGTATTATCAAAGGTGACTCATGAATTCACTCATACACAAATGGATAATAATAGTAGTTCATGAATACCTGCACGCTCAGAACACCCTCCAAGTTCAAACTATAATTGCCATATGTACATGCATAAAAAGCGTTGTTAAAGGAGAGACTTAAGCTGTAAATGCTCCCAGAAGGAGGCAAATCCCAATAGACAGACCCTGAATAGGGAAAAATGTGCACTGGAAGAATAGATGGTCAGGTGGTCATAAAAATTCCATTCTATATGAATCTTGATTGGATCTGTGTCATGAGAATAACATTATATATATATACATATATATATATATCTTGTGTAAAACAATAAACTCCACAAAGATAGTATTAAGACAGTTGATATGTTCATATACTTCACCATTTTCTGATGAAGATTAACACTTAAAACCTTAATCCATACAAATATGTGGCAAAAGTTCCAAACATACACCCAACTGTCTTCTGATGTGTCAAGGCATAGGTCCAGGAGATGTCGCAAGCATTACATCACTAAGGCCACAGTGTGTTTTGTCGCCATAATAGGCAACTTTCTGTAGTGGCAGCCAAGTCTGCTGGGTAATTCAATATCATGAGAAACAATATAGCAAGCATGAGGTTGTTCCCAGCATGCAGGTATTCATGAACTTGTAAGGGGTAACTCAAAACTTTATCACTTAAATTCTCATTTGTATTCTAAAGTCAAGGCACCCTATTTGAGAATAAAAAAAAAATAAAAAAAAACATGGTGGGTATTTTCTTTTTTTTTGTGGTATCTTGGGGACTGATCAAGCCTTTGGTAAAACATTTCATGCTCTAAGACAGGGGCGCCCACTATTTTTCGTCTGGAGATCTACTTTTCAAATGACGAGCTCATTAAGATCTACCAACGAAAAAACATATTAGGGGTCTAAAAAGTCCCTTGATATTTCCCTTTTAAAATAGAAAAAGAAATTGAGGACACAAAGTCCTCAATCTATTTTTCTGCAGCCTCTATTCTAAATGAATGGAAAGCACAGAGGCTTCCCATTCATTCAGAAAATATTTTACTATCAAGCAGTTTCTGAATGGGGAGATATGGCAGTGACTAGGCTTCTGAGAATAAGTAGTTGCTACCATAGACAGAATCAAACACCGCATCAACAGATTTTGGTTCAAGAGAGTATTAATCAATGATGTTCAGGAGTGCAGGGCGATAAAGGGGCGCTCTCACCAGGTTCAGAACAACCTCAGCACTGTGTTCCACACTCCCAATTGGCTCCGAGGAAGGAAGCGTGACCTCTGAAATACGTAAACCACTTCACTACCAGGGAAGACAAATAGCCGGTGGATATGCACCTTTCGTTCTGACCCTTTTATGCCTGTTTTTATTCGTCCTTTGTGAGTACCTTTATACCATTTTTAAAATTCGTTTATTAAAAAGTGTTTATGCGATGGAGGCGCTCTCTGTGTCTTGTCTTGCAGTTGTTACCATGTTCAAACAAACATAATGATACCTCTGAATGTGTTATGTCTAACACATTAAGGAAGTTGACCTGATGAAAATATTAAGGAGCTGATATATTACTTTTTTTTTTTTAACTGGCTGCATGTTTGGAAGATAGCATGTGTGATAGCTTGTCACTACATAATAATTCCACTAAGAATATATATTTTTTGATCACTGCTTGAAACTTGCAAGATGTAAAGCAAAATGCCTTACTTTTGCAATCGAACTCTTGGGGAAACACATGCAACATTGGGATATAATAAAAAATAGTTGTGTGTGTGTGTATATATATATATATACACATACACATATATATAAATATATATATTGTATATACATACACACGCATACATATCACTTATCCAAAAGTTGAAATACCCACACAGAATAACAGTCAGTGTTCGTAGCTAAGCAGCATTCAGTCATACTGATTGAGGAAGTCTTCAAAAATGAAATACCTAACCACAAAGGATTGATTATTGTACCATACACAGGACCAACAAATTTGTGATTTATCAACTACTTTAGTTCCTGCTGTTCATGTGAAGCAACAACTCATTCCACACTGATTAAGAAGTAAGAACCATTGACCATAAGAAATGTAAATTATGATGACTTGATGAATTGTAATGAGAGGACAGCAGCACCCAAGGTACTATAACTGTGTCCAATGAAAGTACTGAAGAAACCTGAGAGGAAATGTGCACCATTGCACTCTATAAAATGACCAAGGGAGCTCCTGCAATGCTTTTATATGTGGGTTAGCCCGTCTGATTTATTGGAGGCATGAGAACATGAAAGCATTAATAAACTAGCATAGCAATAAACAGAAAATGAAAATGTCTTAATCTTTTTCAGCATAGACGGCTAAGTGTTCTGGGATATCTCTACTAATTGGGGTAATCTACAGAAAATCCTGGTTTGTTCTTCTCTAGTTACTACACACAGTTTATAAAGACATTATAAACTCATGTGCAGCTCAATCCTTGACTTTACTTTTGTATCAGATGAATAGCTCCATACCCAATGGACACATTAACATAACAATTTGTCATAAAATATGGAAACAATCTCCCCTGTTTATGTATTTTATTAGTAGAAAATATTCAAACAATTTACATCCATTTGAAAAGTTCTAAATCTGCGGTCAGAACGAAGAAAACATACAATTACAGTATAAAAACATTTAATTGGATGGGCAACAATTATCCAAGCAGCATTTTCATGTAGTCACAGTTGTGTTCCAATCTCAATCCTTGAGAGCCCCGGCCTAGATGATGGTTATAGCACACTGGAAATCTCACTCTGCAACATGTAGTTTTCTGGAGGAAACAGCTTGTGTTGTGTTATAGAATCTAGGAAACAAAAATACAACGTGCTAATTTGTGTAATAGAAATATTTACATGAAAGAACTTTGATATACTCGTATATACCAGATCTTACCGAATGAAACAAATAAAAGCTATGAGAATCTCTCTTTTAGACAACATTGCTATGATCCAAAAATACTTCATGGTTACATTTCCACAGCGTGAACTCTGGATCCCTCTTGGCCAGACCAATAAATCAATGCTGCTCACTCATATCAAGGAATATGTAAAGACGTAGAGGGGAATTTTTCAAAATGGGAGCATACAAAATCTGGAGCAGTTGCCCACGGCAACCAGTCAGCTTCTCTCTTTCATGTTCAACGCTTAAAATGTTCACCGGGCATAACAACATTAGCAGTAAACGTTTTACAATTAACTCCATGACAAGGATGAGAGGCCACCACCTAAAATTGGTGGAGAAAAAAATGTCAGCACAAGGGGCGAAGGCGGTTCTTCTCAGTTAGATCGGTCAGGGTCTGGAACTGGCTGCCACATGCTGTGATTTTGGCTGAGAGTGTGGGATCATTCAAGAGGCGACTGGACGATTTCCTCAGGGACCGTAATATACAGGGGTACAAGTACCCTTAAGAATGAGAACACAAAAGGAACCCATACATACACACACATCAGCAGGACCATACACATACACACAATAGGTTGGACTCGATGGACATATGTCTTTATTCATCCTCAAATACTATGTAACCATGTAACTGAGCAAACTGAAGAGAGAAGCTGATTGGTTGCCACGGACAACTGCTCCAGATTTGATAAATTCCCCCCACAGTGGTCTTTTACTTTACCAGACCAAAGACATACTGGTAAGCTACATAGTATGTGTGGAAACTGGACATAAAGTGTGCTGTAGTGCATGTTGTAGAGACATTTAAGTTGATCTAATCAGGTGAAATAGAGAAATGTATAATGGCTAAAAAAGAATCGGTCACCGTTGTGACTGCTGTCAATTACTAAAAAAAAAGTTTGGTTGGTTTGGAATGTTACATACACTAAGATAAAATAAGTATGTCTGTAGGTGCCGTTCTCAATGCACTTGCCAGAACAAAACAAAACGTGACATGCAACAATATAGTGAAAAGTGATCTACAAATCAAATAATCCTAGTACAAATATGTATAAATAAATGTTCAAATGTGATAATAGTGACCAGAGTTCACATATAAATCCAGCATAAATCCATGTACAAAGCTGTGACATCAAATTCTAAACTGCAAAATCCACCGATGAAGTGCATCCACCATGCTCACACCCTCCAGGGACCCGTTCACCTCCCAAGAAGACCTTAGGGAAACGCTGATCCCCTGTGGAGCTGAGCGGGATTCTACCCAAATACAGAACCACTTGTTGCCGTTATCCCACTCCTCCACCTTACGGCTCTCTGTAGATATTATTCTCCTTATCCAGATTACCATAGGCAAGATAAAACATACACCACAGTGCATACTATAGAACTCCAAATACAACTTGATTCAAATATGTAGGCAAATTATCTGTGCTTGTGGACGGTGAGACACAATATTCCAGAAATGAAGTTAATAAGCAAACCAACAAAAATCATCCTCTTACTATCCATCAGAGTAAACTTCGGAATATCTATAGCTTGTTTTATGTACGCTCGGCAAAATAAAGGGTGATATGTAGAAAAATGTAGATTTTCTGTCTGCTGTGCAATATAGCCACTTCACATTAGCATAATGATCTCCACAAAAATGTAATGGGGAACATTCCTCAAGACAATGGAATTTTATCGTCTGTGTCCTCTTCTTTCTCACTTGATTTTCTAAGATCTCTATCTCATGACACAAGAATCGATATATTTCGCTTATGTTTGGTACATTTCATTTTGTACATCTGCATAAGTGTACTGGGATTACTGATATAGATTCACAAACCTCAGCACTATCTCAAGGAGGAAAATAAAGACAATGAAACAATAATTATGTCCGTGATAACAAAGATCAATGTATTTATAAAGCCCCACAGTAGTGGCTATGTCCATGTACAATATTTAGCCCTCATTCGCACTAGAAAATGCTGGCACATACAGCTCCGTGCTGCGTGCATGGCCGTATCGGGCAGCTCCCGGGAAGGACAGGTGCTGCGTGTGATTAGTACGCAGCCCCTGTCCTTCTCCATGGGACTACGCGGCCGTACGCCGCGCTACGCTCACTTCAAGTGCAGATCTGTACGGGTGCGGATGTCCCGGCTCGGACGCAGACAAGATCCATCCTGTCAGCATACGAGTGCGCTCACTCGCACAGACGTGCAGGGCGGGTGAGTGTAGGGGGGCGTACGGCCGCACACTCCCATAGAGAAGGACAGGGGCTGCGTACTAATCACACGCAGCACCTGTCCTTCCCGGGAGCTGCCCGATACGCCTGTGCACGCAGCACGGAGTTGTACGTGACGGCCTTTTCTAGTGCGAATGAGGGCTTAAAGCAAAAACTGAAGGCTGTCTTGATATATATTTTACTGCTTTATCCACCAAATTATTTGTAATTCTGTATGTCTGTCCTGTGATTTGCACACTGTAATTCCAGGCAAGTAACACACTTTCTACCTGGTTTGACAATGCAGCTTCCTATGTCACATATATGCTTTGTTCCTTGGACAATAAATCTGCATCATTGTCTCTTTCCAATTAAGAGGGAGGTGACCCAGCAGACAATAAAGCTGAATGGGGAAGCTGTGTAAATGATAGGAGCGGCTAACCAAAATCACAAATCCGTTGGCAGGTAAAACAGTACAGAGGAAACACTCTCACACGTGCCCTAAACTGATGTAGATTAATGAATATAATGCAATCTTATTCAAATAATTATCATTAATATGGCAAGCAATAGTAATGCCATTGTACCTCAAAAGGAATGCATAGTAATAAGCACAACAACCTTGTTGTCAATAAATATGGCAAGTAATAACAGTAACAGAGGTAACTACTCTTAATATGCCAAACCAATGTTTAGTTTAGTTATGCATAAAAATTCTATTATGGCAAATCTATTTTAAAGCATGTACTATTTAACATCTACTCTCAGAATATAGCTGCAGCTGTAGTCATAAGTGTACCACAGTGAGCTACCACTATATTGTGTCAAAGGTTTGAAGTCAAACATCTTCAACTGATAATTGACTTGTGAGTAATTGAAGAAGACTTTATATTATTAAAAAGAGGACAGGTGAAGAATTCCTAGGGGCGTATTTATGAAGCAGACGTATGGCCTAACTACATAACATTGCTTTTCATGTGATTTGCCTGTGAAGCCCCATAAATCAGAAAAGTAAAAAGGGATGGAAGGAGGAAAATCTTTCACATGACCCAAGGTTATGTGACAGTGTTCTCCTCCTTTTCCTTTGGTTTACTTAAAGAACATACTCCCGTGAATTAAAAATCCTCAAGCACCCACTACGGGAGAAGTGTTGTTAGCATTCAGGAGGCACATTCATTCAAAGAGTAATAGCGTGTTTCAGGAGATATTAGTTTTGAGCATGCCACGTAAGGATTCGTCCAGCAGTCCAAAGAAATTTACCACTTTCCATTTTTTTCCAAAAATTGTATTGTGGTGCACTAAAATAATGCTCTCCTCCTTCCATAGATGCTTGGAGCCCGGACCTTCCCGGCCGTCTGGGCCCCTCACACTTGCTGAACCCCTCTGATGGCCGGGGATTCGGATCGCGACCCCCCCTATTCACTTGCGCAACCCCACATGGGGTCGCGACCCGCAGATTACGAAGGTCTGCTCTAGAACTCGTCAGAAGGTTCAGGAAGTGCAACAAAGCCCAGCTCAACAGTTTGCGCAGCGCTTTACAATATAAGAAAGACATTACAATCACAATACAATTCAAGACAAGATGGTAAGGAGGGCCCTGCCCATCCACTCATCAATTAGAAAAAAGCCAAGCTGGCAGCGGTTTTTGGGTGGATAATAAATGGAACGTGAAGAGCTTCCTACCTCACCACTTGGACATTATTCTGGACCCAATCCAGCATGGAGTTCGCCCTCTTGTACCTGGCCATGCCAAACCAAGAAAACCTCAGGTGGAACATGTAAGGATTGATGGGAGAATGGTGGCAGCTTTCCAGGACAGTGGAGCCTTTCTTAGCATTGCGGCCCCCCCGTAGAGATGTTGGACCCAGGCCATTCAGAGAGACCCAGGAATTATAACTGAACTTCCTGAAGGGACACAGAGGTGTTGAAAGTACACTTGAACTATGAACATGAGAAATTGTGCTGGGTGGAGGAAGATGGAAGGTTTACCAGCAAATGTTCTATTAGGAAAGGATGTGGGTAATTTACTTTGTAATTTCATGTATTTGTTTTTAATATAATCTGGCCATTTCAGCCTATAAATGACCCAGAGAAGCAATTGATGTGGATGATTTTTTTTCATAATTGTGTATTGAGCTCATGAAGTGTTGTTGAGAAGCATTTGCTATGTCGGGTTTGCTACCTGGCTGGGATATTTTCAGGTCTGAAATATCTCCCCTGTTTCGTGAACCCTTGACACCTATAATTGATAAAAGACATTTGATGTTCTGAAACAGGGGCAAGAATGAGAATGTATGGGCATGGTGTGCCCAAAGGCACTGAATACATGGTAAATAAAACACAAACTCTGTTAGAACAGTCAAAGAAAAAAAGAGACATTGTTGTCACATGTCACATACCTGAACTAGAGGGTAGACATTTAATTTCAGAACGGGACTATTTAAAATATACAAAATTCCTCAAGCTACCAAAGTATTTTTCATTACCATTATTGTCAAGCTTCGATCTATATTGAAAAGCATAGAATCCCCCCATTTTTTTTTTCCAAGCATAAGGTGGCCTTTATAGAGATATGTTCCACTATGTCTTACTGGCAGTGGTAAATGAAAGTATTAAAGCCCCATCAATAAATAGAAGGGTTCATATGATTGATTGAGAATAGTCTTCTATTGGAAACCAAAATATTTGCTCCAAAC